AGTTAGGTAAATCTAGTTTTCTTTTATTCCCAGTCTGACCACTACATAATAATAAACTTAACTATTAAAAGTAATAGGAATCATCTAAGACTAAGTGTATTTGTTCAGCTGTGTGCCTTTCCTCGTTTCCCATTTTGATTAACCCATGATTTGTGCTTGACCAAGTTAATGGGCGATTTAGGGCTCTGAAAGTAGAGAGAGCAAGAGAGTAGATTATGCTAATCTAGATGATAAGAATGCAAAAATGAACAAGTGTTACTATGATATTAATGATGAAACTAAAAAGAAAAAAAAAAAGGCACTCTGTGTCATCCCAACGCATGTTTGCTGTCTGTCCAGGAACTGTATTCGTTTTCTTTGGTTATCATTTTTTAAAGCTTTCTTGAAAGTTTTTGGTTTTCACTTTGATATTTCTGCCAATGCATTTCCTTCCGGCCTCTTCGGTGGAGCACGGCATAGCGAGGGAGGACTCTCTCGGGGCCTCAGAGACAGACCAGTGCTGGGCCCCTTTGGCTGCTGCAGTTTCTACCTCAGTTTGTCAGCTGTGTTTTTTATCATTTATTTGCCTCTTGGAGCAAGTGTTCATAGCATGCGTTGGGTATGGCCACTGTGTTTCCCACCCCCTCCCCCCTCTCTCCCTCCATCCTAGCATCCCTTCCTCCAACCTCTGTCCTCTTTACCCTCCTTCCTTTCCTCTATCATATCTCTCTCCTCCCCCCCAGACCCTTTCCCTTGTTGCCTCTCTCTCTCTCTCCCCATTTCTCCTCATTTTTATCCCTCTCTTTCTCCCTTCCGTCTTCCTCTCCTCCCCCCCCCCCTCCCATGGCCCTTCCCTGACCCCCTCCAGGAAAGGAGTGAGTATTAAACAGCCTGACATCTCCACCAACAGGTATCTTGCCGAGACCGCCACTGGTAGCGAGAAGAAGAACGAACAGGGGTAAATATTGTTCCGTGCTCTCGTCTTTTCGTCTCCCTTGTCTTAGCTGACTCTTGTCTAGTGCCAAAACCATAAGCTCTGCTACACGTCTCGACTCCCCCTCCCCTCCCCTCCCCTCCTTGGGACTCCACCCCTGGGACTCTGCTAGGATCCTGCCCCTCCAAGATTTCCCTGTGATAGCCCAGGTGCTGCCTCTCGTCACTGGAAGCTTCACACACATTTTTTGTTGTGTATTGTAATTTCTTGTAGCTATTCTAAATCTAAGGACTTAAGAATGTTGATGCTATTACATACACATGTGTATGATATATACATATGTACAAATACACACACACACAAATACATACAAATATTCATATACACAAACATGTAAAGGTACATGTATACATGCGTATGTAAACATGTACAAACATATATGTACATATATTAAAACATATATATATATATATATATATATATATATATATATATATATATATATATATATATATATATATATATAATGTATGTATATACATAAATACATGTGCACATCAATACACACACATACACATACATGTACACGTATGTGTACCTATGCATGCATAGGTATGTTTTCATATATATATGATATGATACTTCACTCAGAAAATCCCCACCTACATACCCATATTTACATAGTTTGTATATATATTTACATTGTACGGTGTATATATACCTAACTAAAATGAATAGTAGGCATAATTGGCAGTCAGTTTTCTTATTGGTTCTGATAGAATTGCACGCTAGTCCTCCCCCTACCCCATCCCCCTCTCCCCCCTTACCTACACCAGCCCCCTGACTCTGGACCCAAAGGTTAGGACGGACAGCCTAGTGTGCTGAGACCTCCCCGGGCTGACAGAAGCACTACACGCCTGATGTGCAAACTGACCCAAGCTCCCCACCCCTTACCCCAGGATCCTTTAGATACCTGCTGGAGTCTCGTCCCTATCCGGGGCCTCGCTGAAGGACTTGGCACGGGCGTTGCCAGAGGCCGAAGACATGTCGAGTCCTTAAAACAGTCTTCCATCATATAAGATGCTCTGATGATCATGAGGATGAATGTCATCCTGCTGTTGACTTTGAAATGTTCATGAGTTTCTGGTTTAGTCAGAACTGGAAGTAAAAATTGTGGCATCTCATTACTTCTCATGGATGAGGATAGTGCCTTTCTTACGTACAGCCGTTTGTAGTTGTTCCTCCTTTTTCCTTATTGCCTCTCTCACTCCCTCTTTTCCTCTTGTAATGTAGACATGAGCCAAGGTCACCCAAGGTTCTGCTATTTCTTCATGTGCATGCTGTATATAGCTTGGTTCAGTCATAGTAGGCTAGTTTACATGTGGTTTTTATTTTTATTTATTTTTTTTCCCTAGAACATTTTGTATTGTATGTGTATGTGCTTGTTTATGAATTATTGGTTCTCTTTTTAAGAGTATATCAATAATTTAAAGTTGTGAGGGAACAGAATAGATTTAACATTGGTTAAAAAAATATGGAACACTTCATTTAAAAGGTGATTGGAAGTAACTGAGTAAAGCATCTTCATAATTACCTCTTGATTTGAGTGTTTAGGCATTGCACAGATTTAAAACAATGCAAGCTGAAATTTTAATCACTTTTATGTTACACTTTGCAGAAAGGAAAATTGTTCTGGGTTTATTGTCATGCAAAGCTTGCTTGATTTTTATGAAAGTAATGCTAAAGGAATGTATTGCACTTTTTTAAGTGCTGCAGCTTTCTCTCATTATAATGCAACTAAGTTTGTCTTTGTTCATACTCTGGTGAAAGTAATGCTTTCCACTTCTTCGCAAAGTCGGTCTCTTCCTGGTTTGTATTAGGGATAGGTCAGGGCTAGGGGGGATGGGGTGCCTAAATCTTGATGTGCCTGGTATCGTGATAAGCCGACATTTTATAGATCTTTGTCACCCAAAGTGGATAGGATTCGGCCAAGGCACTTTTTCCTCCAGGTGGGGGGACAAAACACTGGCAGGGTATATAAGTGGAAAGAGGGTTGAATTAATTTCACTTAGCTGGTCAGGATGACCTGATTATTCTAGAATATCGGGTTAGCAATTTTGCTTAACCCAATGACGCCGGGTGTACAAAAGGAAAATAAAACTCTACGCTCTGGCAAACAAAGGCGGCGCGCCGACTTTGAGCGCCGGAGTACGGGGCGTCAGCCCGAATCACTGGCTCGCCGCGCTTTGGCGCGCCGCCAGCTGGTTTGGCCGCACGCCACCTTTCGAGCGATTTGTTTACACGCGTATCGCCGTCACCCGGCGGCAAGGGGTTAATTTTATACATTCTGTATTAAAAATTGATATCAAAAGCAATTGGAAGAGCCACAACTAATTTTGTCCTAATCAACCATATACCATGCACAAGTATGTACTCATTGGCCAAATGGCTTTACTGTTGGCATAATTAGAGCACGGGTTCAGAATTTGTAATAGTTGCAGCCCTACTTCTTTGCCAGCGATAAAGTGAAGGTGAAAATAAGTTCCCTTACTTTACCCAGAAACTGACCAAAGATATGTTGCAAGACATTGCTAGTTATCTGACTGTTGCATGGCTGCATTGATTGCACATGTTACTCTGCTGGATAAAACCTGGATTTATTTTTTATAAAGATCATGTCCTTCATAGTTTTACACTGATATTTGACATGTAAATTCATTATCATCAGTATATTTACTTTCCTTTTCCTGTGGCTGGTCCCTGCCTCTAGTGGTCATGAGTTCTTGATTACATCTCTGGTGCCTTGCCCTGTGAAGTGTGCACATATTCACCTGTGTAGTTTGTTTGCCTTTATAGCTTTGGATATAACCATAATACTACATGTTACTAGATAAGCAATGGTAATTGTATTTATGACAAGTGATACTTCATATTTCTCTTGATCTTAATGATGGAAAGGGTCAGAGCTAAATATTTCCTCCTTTATGGATGTGCCATGCATATGCTCACTCTCATCCACATTACAAGAGGAGAGAGAGAGAGAGAGAAGGTCCAATGGGCGAAAATGATTGAAGTATCAGAGTCCTGATAGCTGTCTACTCCAGTCTTCTAATAATACGACAGTACCTGAAATATTCAAAATAATCGCTGGGATGGGTAGATGGGAGGTAGAAAGACTAGAAATCTCTAGAGTTGCACAGGGAACGCTCCAGGGGGAAGGGAGCGAGGACGAGGGTTAGCTTAGTGGTGAGATCGTGCCACTTGTCATTCTGCCTCTTGTTCCTGCATTCCAGTTATTTTGAAAAGCTGTATTTCAAATTTGATTTTAAAAAATAATAATAAAGAAAGAAGTGTATATATATATATACACATATATTAAGAAAGGTACTTTTAATTTACTTAAAAGTTGAGGAGATTGTTAGGATTTTTGAAGGGAATGAATGGTTGTCCTTGGAGTTCGCAATGAGGAGTGCTGAAGAAACTTAACCCCTTGATGATGGGTGAAGAAAATAAAAAATAAAAAAATGCTCTGGAGATCAATGGCAACGTGGCGGGAGTTCAGTACGTCAAGCCGAATCACCTGCTCGTGCCACTTTGGCGTACAGCCGCACACCGCAGGTCGAGCGGTTTGTTTTAATGCCTCACGGCGTGACCCGTCGGGAAGGGCTTAAGGAATGGGTTGGTGTATTTGCGCCATGACACGACTGTATTACTTGATGCACACAAGTAGCAGTTAGTATGGTCATCAGTAATTTACAGGCCAAGTTTCATGAGTTGGCCAAATAGTATGGACTTTACATGGCCTAAAGTATTCTAATAGGCAACGTAAGCATTCATATATAACTAGAAAAAGTGCTTAACTGAGTTTCAGGCCCTGATTAGGTTATATATATATATATATATATATATATATATATATATATATATATATATATATATATACATATACATATACATATACATATACATATATACATATACATATATACATATATACATATATACATATATACATATATACATACATACATACATATATATATATATTTGAAAGAGTGGCTTTTACAGTTCATTGGGTTTATATTTA